CCAGGGGTCAGTCTCAGGCTACAGGGCAGACCTTTTAGGGCTGAGCTGAGGAAATCTTCCTTCCCTCAACGGATAATGAACCTGTATAATTCTCTACAATAGAAAACTGCGGAGGTCAAATCACTGAATATATTCAAGAAAGAGCTAAATACAATTTTTAGATATCAAGGAGTATGGGGAGAAAGCGGGAATATGTTGTTGAGATAGATGATCAGCTGTGATCAGATTGAATAACAGAGTAGGCTCAAAGGACTGAATGGCCTACTCCTGCTCCTAGTTTCTATGCTTCCATTGTTTGTTCTCTCAGAATATCAAAGAATACGAAGAGTAGGTGGGAAAGTGGAGTGAAACCTTCAATTAGTCATGGTTATATTGAATGGCAGAAGAAGCAGGAGAAGGTGTAAGGTCCATTCCTGCTCCAATTTCTCATGTTCTCATTCACTTCAGCCACTTCATGCGGCAGTAAGTTCCTGGTGAGCCGTGGAGTTCTCCCCAGTGTCCTTGCTAATATCTGTCCCTCAATCAACCCACAAAAAACACACAATCTGATCAGTTATGGAGTCATACAGCACAGAAACAGGCCTTTTCGTCCACCCAGTCCATGCTAATCATAATTCCAAACTAAACTAGTCCCACCTATCTGCCTTGGCCCATACCCCTCAAACATTTCTTTTTCATGTACTTATCCAAATGTCTTTTAAACATTGTAACTGTACCCACATCTACCACTTCCTCTGGAAGTTCATTCCATGCATGAACCACTCTCTCGTGTAAAAAAGTTGCCCTTCATGTCTTTTTAACAATCTTTCTCCTCTCACCTTAATGATATGCCCCCCTAGTCTTGAGATCCCCAATCCTAGGGAAAAGACACTTTCCAGTCACCTTATCTATACCTCAAAAACCTCTAAAGGTCATCCCTCAACTTTCCATACTCCAGTGGAAAAAGCCTCAGCCTTTCCAGCATACATTTATATCTCAAGCACTCCTATTCCCGGCAACATCCTGGTAAATCTTTTCTGAACCCCCTCTAGCTTAATAATATGCTTCCAATAAAAGGGCAACCAGAACTGGACACAGTCCTCCAGAAGAGGTCTCACCAACGTCCTGTACGACCTCAACATGACAACCCAACTCCTATACTCAAAGGTCTGAGCAATGGAGGCAAGTGTGCTAAACGCCTTCTTAACTACCCTATCTACATATGATTTTTTAGTTATTTCTTTGCTGTTTGTGGGAGCTTGCTCTGAGCAATTTATGGTCTTGATTCCTACATATCAAATAATATGCTTCACAAGTTGGCTACAAAGTGATTTGGGAATATCCTGTGAAAAATGCAATATAAATGCAATAGTTCTTCCTTTTGTACCCACATTCTGTCTTCCTTTCATGTGAGTTGCCAGGCAGTTTGCAAATAGCTGTACTGCATCACCACCTGCTGTAACAGAATGGAACCACCACAGTGGATAAAATAACATTTTAATCTTCACATGTTTCATGTGGACAAGCCTGTAATTATTGACAACACACCAGTGGTGACCCTCAGTTAAACCATTGCCAAATTTCTCTCTAGATCAGCCCTACTGTAGTGACTTTACCTACTGTACTTGTTTTATTGGTAACATTCGAGGAACCCCCGTGGCTATCCTGGGGTGGCTTGTGTTCAGTCACAGATCAGACATGGTTGAAATGAATAGTGCTACAGGTCCCTGGGACTGAATGGCCTCCTCATGTTCCTTTGTAAAAACTAAAAATGCTGGAAGTGCTCAGACCCCAGGCAATGTCTATCACTAGAGACTCAATGATCAATTGTTCTGATTGTTCTGATGAAAGGTCAGTGATTGAAATGTTAACTCTGTTTTTCTCTCTCCACAATTGCTGCTTGGCCTACTGAGTGTTTGCAGCATGTTCTGTTTTTATTCCTACGTTTCCTCTGTCTACCCACATATTAATGAAGAACTTTGCCATGCCACTTTGAGTCAATTTGAACAGATACTGTACACTGCTTTTCTCTGTGTTTTCTTCTTTCATTCCTCTCTCTCTCATACAGTCATAGAGGTCTACAGCACAGAAGGAGGCCCTTTGGCCCATCATGTCTGTGCCAGTCAAAAATAACCACCTAACTATTCTAATCCCATTTTAAATTAAGTAGGAGGCTAGGTGGAGGTGATGTACAACTTTGATTCAAGGCCCAATTCATCTATTTGAATTAACTATGTTATGACAATTGAAAATATCTTTCAGAAGAGGTAAAAAAATGCCAAAAGACTTCTGCCACATAAATGCCAGGCAATGACCATCTCCATTTCCAATGAGAGAGAATTTAACTATCACATCTTGACATCTGAATCCCCCACTGTCAACACCCTGGGAATTAACATTGAAGAGAAACTGAACTGGACTTGCCATATAAACACAGTGGCTACAACAGCAGGTCAGAGGCTAGGAATCCCGCAGGAAGTAAATCACCTTGTGACTTCTAAAAGTCTGTCCGTCATCTACAAAGCACAAGTTAAGAGTGTCATGGGATATTCACCGACAATACTCAAGAAGCTTGCCACTATCCAGGCAAAGCAGCCAACTTCATTGGTATCACATCAACGACGTTCAACATTCATTCACTTGATCACTGAGGACCCATGTGTTCCAATAGCCTTTCCGGCCATTCTGAGGGGCGGGGTATAATATGCACCTGCCCCGTTTGCAAGTTTGCAGCTTTCATGTTGTCCACATGCTTGTTCAGAACCATCTCACCAACTCACTTGAAATGTCACTGGACCTGACCTCGCGTCGATCATGCCTCTTACCCATGCAGGGCCATTTCCGTGGTTTTGGCATCAAACCTTAAACCCTGAAGTAAACTGTCTCTGTCACTTAGAGGAGTCTTGTGTCTAGCATTGGTGTTCCTAATACCATTTCACTCTCCCCACCCAGGTCCAGGAAGACTAGATTTAACCTGGTGTGGAGTCTTCTCCCCATTAGCGACTCTCTGTTGCATGAGGGTGGTCCCATAATCCAATAGGAATTGAGACAGTTTGGTATTGAGTGAAGCTGTAGATTGTTTCTTCAAGCCTGCCTTCAAAGTTTGGACTACTCTTTCTGCCAGGCCATTGGACAATGGTTGGTATGGAGCTGTCCTTTTATATTGAATGCCATTCAACTTTAGCAAATACTCAAATTCCATGCTGGTAAACAATGGCCTATTGTCTGTGACTGACACTTCCAGGAGTCCGTATATTCCAAAAGATGCGCGCAACTTTTCTATTGTCGTCCCTGTGTTTCACGAATGAATACTATGCACTTTCAACCACTTTGAGTGGGTGTCCACAATGGCTAAGAACATTGAGCCCATGAAAGGACCTGCACAACCAACGTGTAACTGTCCAGGGTTTACGTGGCCGTTCCAAAGAAAGTGGGGGAGCCACTGGCGGTAATTTTTGTCCTTGTTGCACCACCAATAACGTTATGTCTTCATCCAATCCTGGACACCAGACATAACTTCTCAGCAACATCTTCATTTTGGATACCCTTGGATGACCCTTATCGGTGTTAACATTTGCTCAGGACAATTGCTCTTGCTCCCCACAATAAAATGCCGTCCTCTACAGTCATCTGGTCTCACTGGGTCCAGGAAGATTTCAGTTCTGGTTGTGATGGTCCTTTTGTTTTCCCCATCACCACCAGCTGTTGCCAGGACAGGATCTTTATGTGTTCACAGTCTGATATTGCCAGCGGTGACTGGAAGGGTATCCAGAAAGTTTAAAACAAGAATGGACTCTTCCAGTGGATGCATCACCAGTGATGTATCTGCCAGTGGGAGGTGGCTCATGGCATTCGCATTTGCTACTTGGCCTCCTGGATGATGGAGTTCTACTCACTTAGAATGAGAGCACACCGCTGAATCCAACCTGAAGCTATGGGCAGAACGGCCTGGTCCTCTTTAAGTAGCCCTAGCCGGGATTTGTGGTCTGTTGCTATTACAAATTTATTCAGTAAAGGTATTGGTTGATTTTTCTCATTCCAAAGACGAGTGCCAAACCTTCCTTCTATATCTGGGCGTATTTGCAGGGTTTTTGATGAGGTTAAGATGACTGGCAGAGGCATGTGATTTTGGGTTAATCCTGAATGAGATGCTGAGAGACCATTTGGTATGTGGGATCAGTGACATAACCATGCAAAAGCGCCTACTAGCTGAAGCCCAACTGGACTTCAATCAGGCACTACAGCCAGCTTTGTCATTAGAAATGCAGCAAGTGGAGCATGGAAGCTACAGGGCATCCCAACGGAAGTGGTTACTCTCACCTGTTTGATTGAGCTTGGGGAACACCACTTGAATGTAGGCAGTCACAGTGCCTCATGCAGGGCATGTCCTGAACAGAGGGAGCCTAGGTCAGCCCACAGCAAGACCCCAAAACAAAGCCGAGCCTTGGCCGAATAGCTAAAATGTTCTAAAGTATGACCCTCATCCTACCCTGTGCCATGCTCGTACCCAGACAGAGGGGCATTAATGGGGCTGGAAGGAATGTGGGAGGTGGGGGCAGAGGAAGAGATAGACCAGAAGGAAATCTCTTGATGATGATGAAAGGAAATTCCTCAAGATGTTCTGGAGGGGTGTGACAAATGGAAGAAAGCGATCAGAAGCACATGCTGGAAAATAAAAACTTGTACATTCATTTCTGATCTGTCATCTCCCACTGAGGGCAGGAGTGGCAAATTCCAAATGTTGGGATGAACTGGTCAGACTGATGGAGACAGACAGGAATGTGCTGGACAAGAGTTACATGACCTGACTTCACAGTAATGTAGCATTTCACTGTGAATACTATCTCCAGAGCTGAGCCAGCACTGAGTGAGCTGCTCACATTCGTCATGTTCCCATGTCAAAAGAATGTTGTGAGAGTTACACAATGGTTGTCACATTCCTGTCAGTCCCTATAAGTACAGCAGCCAGAGTCAGGGGCAGGAGTTAGGGAAGACCATCGCTTCGAGAGAGATAGGCGAAGATGAGGAGCTCTTTGTACAGCCAGAAGACCGCATCCATGAGCTGGTCCAGCAGGAGTGGCCCAAGGATCCGGACCTCCTCCCCGGCACCCCCAGAGGCCCGAGCGTCCGAGAAGGAGGAGATGCAACAGCTCAACAGCTGCCTGGCCGGCTACATTGACAAGGTTAAGGGCCTGGAGCAGCGCAACTCCAAGCTGAGGGAAGAGCTGGCAGACCTGAAGGCCCAGCCCAAGGCGCCCCAAGGAATAGGGGATGAGTATCAACTGCAGTTTAAGAAGCTGAGGGAGCTGATTGAGCAACTCACTCATGAGAAAGGGCTTGCTGAGATCGAGATGGGCAACACCAAGGAGGAGGTCGACCTCTGGAGGCTGAAATGTCTCGAGCAGCTTGACCATCAAGGTAAATGTCCTCGTCCTCATCTGATAGACCGTGGTCCGACTAGTGCCTTGTCTAGTTTTAGCAGGATCTCCCCGATTCTATACTCCATTCCCTTAGCTCATTCACTTAGCTTTCTCTCAAATGTGTCTGTGTTGATATTAGCAAAAGTGCCAAACTAAACCATTTCTTCCCGTCATCTTGTCACACTCAGTATTCAGAATTCAAAACAAATGATTTTCAATCCTGATAACTTTCCGCTAGGGTGATTTGCTCGGAAGTCTAAACTTGGAAAATAAGACACCTGTAAGATTACAAAAAGGATTGCCAGGGTTAACTTATTGAGACTGTTTCCACTTGCAAAGGGGTAAAATAGACACCAAGCACTCAAATAGGGAGTTCAGAAGAAATGAGGGCGGTGACAATGTGAAACATGCTCACATAAGGAGCTGTTGAGGTGACCAACTTAGATGCATAATAATAAATTCACAAAGGGTTGAGGGGTGTGGGGTGAGATTTTATCCCTTTCTCTCTCATGTGCTTATCCAGCTTTCCCTTAAATACATCTGTATTATTCACCTCAGCTGAACCCTGAGTTCCACATTCTTTCCAGGTAAACAGGTTTCCCCTGAAGTCATGGCTGGATTATTTAGTGACTATTTTACAGTGTTGTCAATGAAAAAGAGACTAGCTATTCATCTTGCACACATCAGGACAGAATTGCAAGAATACCAAATCTCAAAGCAACACTCGAGTTCTATTTATTAGGATCCCAGATTTTGGCCTGATTCACAAGTGGAGGTATCTTCTTTACATCTGCCCAATCAGAACCCTTCCTAATCTTAAAGTGTTTCTCACAGCCAACTCTTTTCTAAAGAGAAGATACCCAGCATATTCGATCAATCCACATAGTAATGACTTATTTCTTAAAATTACTGGTATTTCTTATAAGTGTCCTTCTCAAAGCATTGTCCTTATCTTAGATTGTGTATGTGACAGACAATGTTAAAAACACATCATCCCCATTTGACAAAGTCCCTCATGGTTAGTTGATCCAGAAGATTAAGTCACATGGCACCGAAAGTGAATTGGTAAATTGGATACAAAATTGGCTTGGTCATGGAAGACAGGGGGTAGTTGTGGAGGAGCATGTTTAAGACTGGAGGTCTATGCCCAGTGGATCCTCTGCAAGGATCAGTGCTGGGACCTCTGTTGTTTGTAATATATATGAGTGACTTAGATGAATGTGTAGGTGGCCTGATTAGTAAGTTTGCAGATGACATGAGAATTGGTGAAGTTGTGGTTCGTGAGCTAAGTTATAAAAGGATACAGCAGGACATAGATCAGTTGGAAAGTTGGACAAAGAAATGGCAGATAGAATTTAATCCAGACAAGTGTGAGGTGATGTATTTTGGGAGGCCAAATGCTACAGGAAGTTAAACAGTTAATGACAGGACCCATTGGAGCATTGATATATAGACAAGTCTTGTGTCCAAGTTCATAGCTCCCTGAAAGTAGCAACACAAGACTAATGTCATAAAGAAGGTGTACAGCATGTTTGCCTTCATTGTTTGGGGCATTAAATATAAATGTTGGCAAATCATATTGCAGCTGAATAAGGCTTTAGTTAGGCCACATTTAGAATATTGTGTGCAGTTCCGGTCCCCACACTATAGTTAGGATATGGAGGCTTTGGAGAGTGTGCAAAAAAGGTTTACCAGGATGTTGCTTGGATTGGAGTGTATTAGATATAAAGAGAGGTTGGACAAACTTGGATAGTTTTTGCTAGAGCATGAGAGACTTGAGGGGCGATCTGATAGAAGTATATAAGATTATGAAAGAAAAGGACAGAGTGGATAATCTGAGTCTTTTTTCCCCCAAGGGTGGAAATATCAAATACTGGGGGACAGAGGTTTAAGGTGAGAGGGGAAATATTTAAGGGAGATGTGTGAGGAACGTTTTTACACAGAGGGCGGTAGGTGCCTGGAACATGCTGCCAGGGGAGGTGGTAAAAGCAGATACAATAACAAAGATTAAGAAACATTTACATGGATACACGAACAAGCAGGGAATATGGGCCATGTGTAGGCAGATGAGATTAGATTAAAATAGCATCATGGTTGGCACAGACATGATGGACTGAAGGGCCTGTTTGTATGCTGTTCTATGTTACACGTTGTAATATTTGATGAAGTGAGAGACTTTGGGGATAGGGAGGGGCAATATTGTTAGGAAAAAGATAAACAGCCCGAAGCACTGCACAGCCAATGAAGCATTTTCTTAAAATGAAGTCATTGCTTTTTAATGTGAGTAATGGCTAAACTTCTTTGTAGCAGGCTCTCCAAAACAGCAATGTAGTTTAGAGAAGATTCAGTACATTGATTTCAGAGATGAAAATCTTGTCTTATGAGGAGAGATCGAGCAGTTTAGACCTGTACACTGTGGAGTTTAGAAGGATGAGTGGAAACTGATTGAGATAAGATGCTAAAGGGGATTGATAAAGTAAACATAAAACAGATGAATTCCCTTGTGGGACAATGTAGAATGAGAGGTTGTAGTTTTAGGATAAGGGGTAGCACATTTAAAATAGATGAGGAGAAATGACTTCTCTCAAAGGGTTGTGAATCTGTGGAATTCACTAGCCCAGAGTACGATGGATGCTGGGACCTGAGTCAGTTTAAGGAGGAGATGGACAGATTTTTAATTAGTAGGATTATAGAGAGTGGGCAGGAAACTGGAGGAGATGCCAAGATGACCTCAGCCATGATCATATTAAATGGTAGAGCAAGCGCGAGGAGCTGAATGGGCTGCTCCTAGTTCTTGTGTTCTTATAACTGACTGGACAATATTTTCAGTCACATTGGTTGGAGGATATATATTGACTGGGATTCAGGAGCACTGAAGCTGTTTCCAGTGTCACTCCATCAGAGATCTGTAAGTCAGAAGAAAACATTCTTCCAGTTTTCAGTGTAGACTGTGGGGTGGTGTTGAGCTTGAATACATGAAGCTCCTTCAATATACTTGACTCCTTATCTGTGTTTGGCTCTCATTGAATTAACTGGATATTGCTGTAAATTATGTTTAATACACAATTTTTACGCAGGCGTGTGCACTCTGTGAGAGGCTAATGGCTGTCACTAAGATTGACAGCTGGTTATAAACTCCTGCCTCCCAGATAGGAGAAAACCAATAACAAATGACTGACTTTTGTTTCAGAGATAGTAGCTAGGCCCGAAACATCAGCTTTCCAGCTCCTCTGATGCTGCTTGGCCTGCTGTGTTCATCCAGCTCTACACCTTGTTATCTCCGACTGACTTTTGTGATGGTTTACAGAATCAACAGAACTGCTACAGTACAGAAGGAGGTCATTTGGCCCATCATGTTTGAACTAGTTCTCCAGATGAGCATCTTACCTATTGTTATTCTCCCCGTAACACTGCACACTGTTACCTTGCAACTAACAGTCTATGTCCCTGTGAATGCTTGATTGAACCTGTCACAACTGCCCTCTCAGGCGATGCATCCCAGGCCCTAACCATCACTCTGTGTGATTTTATTCATTTCACTTATCATTGGGTTGTTCCCCATCTGTTCAGTTGTAATTTGTTGTTCAATGAATGATCTTGGTTGCGACTGCGATGCACAGTTAGAATGTATAACATTTTTAAAGTGTGATATTTATAGTCAGAAAGAAGATTTTTACAGAGAAGCAGAAATGCTTTTTCATGTATTTGTCAGCCTGTGTGCTTCTTTGTGCATTAGCATATTGATTTGTTTATGTTTTGTGTGTTTTTCTGGGTGTTTATTCGTCTTTTGTACACTTATTTTGAGAGTGTACTTCTGACGTGTTAGCTGTATATGACTGCTTGTATCTGTAAATTTATCTGTTTGTATTCTTGTGTGATTGTGTCTGTGTGCATGTTTAACTATGTGCATGTTTAACTATGTGCATATGCTTGTGCCCGAGTGTGTTTACTTCTGAGAATGTATGTGTGTGGATGTGTGACAGAGAGAGAGAGATTCCATGTCTGAGTGTAAATAGGAACAAGAGTAGGCCATTCAGCCCATCAAGCCCGCTCTGTCATTTAATATGATTGTGGCTGCTTAACTATTACAATGCCTTTTACCTACACTGTCCCTACACTTCTTTCCACCATTGGAAATCAGAAATCCATCAATTTCTACTTTAAACATGCTCAAAGACTGAGATTCCAGAATCCTCTGGAATAGAGAATTCCAAAGATTCACCAACCCCTGAGTAAATATGTTTCTCTTTCTCTTGATCCTAAATAGCATCCCTCTTAAATTACCCCCATGCGTTTTAGATATCTAAAGCAGCTTATAGTTCTATGTCTTTGTATGTCTGAGTTTGTGTGTATGACTCTCTGATGCTACCCTATGTGTCTCTGCATTTCTATGAGACTGTGCAAGTATGACAGGGTGTCTGTGCACGTGTGACTGTTTGAACATGTGTGACAGGGTGTCTGTACAAGTGACTGGATGTCTGTGCACGTGTGACTGTGTCTGTGCATGTGTGATTGTGTCTGTGCACCTATGACTGTGTGTCTGGGCACGTGTGATTGTGTCTGTGCACGTGTGCATGCGTACACGTGAGAGTGTGTGGCATGTGTACGTACTTCTCACAGAAAATATAAATAAAGTAAAATAAACTACTTGCTTTCCCCATTCAAGATGAAGCGGAGAGGATCCTGAAGGAGTTCCAGAAGGACATGGATGATGCCTCTTTTCAAAAAGCTGACCTGGAGAGGACCATCGAGCAGCTTGTGGCAGAGATTGACTTCCTGAGAAAGTTGCACGAGGATGAAGTTGCTGACCTGGTCCGACAAATTGAAGAGTCCAAAGTCTCAGTGGAACTGGATTCTACCCGCCCAGATTTGGGAGCCGCCTTGCATTCCGTGAGGGCGCAGATGGAAGAGATTTCTGCCAAGAACCTCAAGGAAGCTGAAGCTTGGTACAAGACCAAGTTTGACAGCCTCCGGCAGCACGCCACCAAATACGACAACCAGATCCAGAGCACAAAGGACGAGCTCAGCATCCTGCAGCAGCACATGGTGGATTTGGAAAATGAGATTGGTACCCTGAGGAGTACCATCCAGAATCTGGAGAACCAGCTAGAGGGCATGGAGGCCAGCCACCTAGAGAAAGTGGCGAGTCTGCAAGGTGTCATCGCCCAACAGGAATTCCAACTGGGAGAAACCAAAACTGAGATGGCACAATACCTTCAGGAATACCAGCGACTGCTCAATGTCAAGCTGACATTGGATGCTGAGATCACCACCTACAGGAAACTGCTGGAAGCAGAGGAGGACAGACTGGGATTATTAAGTGAGGACTCCACAGGTAAGTCGAATGCCAGGTAACACCTTTTCCTTCTGGCAAGAATCTATCACAAATTATTAACAGCTTAGGAATTGGCCGTTCAGATTAACTGGTCTATGATGGTGTTTATTCTCCATAAGAATCAAAGAATAAATACAGTGCAGAGGAGGCCATTCAGCCCATTGTGTCTGCACTTGCTCTCTGTCCATTTTGACTTCATGCTAATTTTCTGTCTTTTCCAGTTCACTCTGTTACAATTACCCAACGCCCTCTTGAATATCTCAGTTTAAACCTGCATCCACCAAGAGACTCCTTCCACTGTTATTCATCTCATCAATATACTTCTTTTATTCCTTTCTCCCTCACAAGCTAATCTAGCTTCCCTTTAAATGTATCTATGTTATTCCCCTCAAACCTTTCCCTGTAAGCGGAGCTAGTCCCACCTTCTAACTATTCTCTGGCTGAAAAGGTTTTCTGCTGACTTTCGTTTTGGATTTACTAGTGACCATCTTTTAAAAAAAAACCAATCTCTTTGCAGAGAGATTGTTAGAATATTGAATTTGCTGCTTTTAAAAATTGTTTGATGAGACATGAGCATCAATGACAAGGCCTGCATTTGTTACCCATCTCCAGGGTCATTTCAGAGGGCTATTTAGAGTCAACCACATTGCTGTGCATCTAAAGTCACATGTAGGCCAGACCAAGTAGGATAGTTTCATGAGACTAGCTTTATATTCCATATCTTTATTGTAATTTGAATTTAAATTTTACAAGTTGCTGTGGTGAGATTTGAATTTATGTCTGATCATATTACACCTACACCAATATCTCTCTCTGTCTGTGGTAATTAAATGCATACATATAATTAGCCTTAAGCTAGAAACTATTGAAGGCTGTAAAATATTTAACCAGATGAGGTGCTGTATCTCAAATAAAGCATTTGGTCTCGTTACTGTGAAGACCACACTGTGAGCGGTGAATACAGTGGACTAAATTGAAAGAATCATAGAATCCCCACAGTGCAGAAAGAGGCCATTTAGCCCACTGAGTCTGCATCGAGGCCCGAACAGCATCTCATCCAGACCCAGCCATCACACTATCCTCGTATTTACTACGGCTAACCCACTAACCAGCACAGCCCTGGGCACTAGGGGTCAATTTAGCAAATCCACCTAACCTGTGTATCTTTGGACTGAGAGAGGAAACTGGAGCACCTGGTGGAAACCCACACAGAGACAGGGAAAACATGGAAATTCCACACACACACACACAGTGGGCCAGACCAAGTGAAGATGGCAGATTTGTGAGCTAGATGAGGTTTTCCTAACAATCAATGATTGTTTCATAATCATCAGTAGATTCTTGATTCCAGATTTTTTTAATTGAATTCAAATTCCACCATGTGCTGCAGCAGGATTTGAACCCAGGTCCTCAAAACATTAGCCTAGTTTCTGGATTAACAGGCTTGCAATAATACCACTAGGCTATTACCTCTCAGATGGTACAAATAAATTGCTGCTTCATCTTCAAAGCAATAACATGAATTTCTGGGTCATTAAAAAAAAAACCAACTTTGGTTTCTTGTTTCTGTTATTTGTTTGCTGCAGTGTTTCAATGAAACCTGACACATGCTAGAGGAACAGCACCTTGTCTTCTCATTAGCCTTCTGCACTCAACATTGAATTCAACAACTTCAGACCATGACTTCTGTCCCCTTTTCTAATTGTCCTTATGCCATGTGCCAGTGTGAATCTTGTTTTCATATTTTAGCTCTTGGAGAAAACTGCTTACTATTCTGTCATTCACACACACTGGAAGGCACTTCTACTACTTTGTGGTTTTATTTATGGATCAAGCAGTTTGCTTGACAATCTCTTGGACCATGTCATACATGCCCCTATGTGGTCATCAAACACTGCACTGGGACTCAAACTCAGGAACTTCCAGTTCAGAGGCAGGGCACATCCATGCACAACAGATGATAGGCAACACCAGCAAATTCCAAGTCTGCCCCCCTTCATGAAGATCAATAGTGGTATTGGAAACAGTCCAAAGAATGTTCACTGGGCCGATAACAGAATGGAATGACTGTCTGATGAGGAGAAGTTTGATAGATTAAGCTTGTACCTGTTAGAATGCAGCAGAATGTGAGGTGACCTTATTGAAACATTCAAGATTCTTAGGGGATTTGAGGGGGGTAGATGCAGAAAGATTATTGTGGGAGAGTCTAGGACCAGAGGGCATCATCTCAGAATAAGGGGTTGTAATTTTAAGACAGATGAGGAGGAATTTCTTCTCTCAAAAGGGGGTGAATTTGTGGAATTATTTACCAATGAGGCTGGATCAATTATGTATATTTGAGGCTGAGACAGTCAGATATTTAATCAGTAACAGAATCAAGAGTTATGGGGAAAAGGCAGGCAAGTGGCGTGGGGATTATCACTCCAACCATGATCTCGTTGAATGGCAGAACAGATTTGATGGGATTGAAGGGCCTACTTCTGCTGCTATGTCTTACGGTCTGACCCACACTCTCGATGGCTGGAACATCACGTCTGGATCTTTTTCACCCACACTCTCCTCCTTGCCCTCCACCCACTGTCACTAAATATCCTGAAAGAGGCAAAATAAACCAAACTAAAAACCTAAGGAGGGATACTCTGAGGGAAAAAATCCCCTCACCTTCTGAGGTGATTAGATCCAGTTCAAACAATACATGATCTAATCAGTTAGGTCACCTATAATCTACAAGATATTATCCTTGTGCCAGGACACAATTACAAATTGCACTAACTTCTCAAAGAGGCCAAGATGTGGAATAAGTTATCAGAATTACTTGAATAAATTCACTAGTGTGATATGCACGGTGTCAGAGCATGTTGAGCTCCTAGGAAATTTCCAGCTATTGATTCATAATGAGATTAGATTAGAAGAGAAGGGGAAAGGGAGAGAAAGGGTCAGGGAATGATTGATAAAATCTATAATTTTTCAGGTAAGATCAGATCTATGACAGAGTTATCATAAGTGAACTGTAAAAAGTGCCATTGGAATTGGGGAAATAGCCTTGTTTCACTTTACTTAATTATCCAGTCTACTTTGTCTTGCTTATAAATCATGCTTATAAATATTACACATTTAAACAGACTCAAATGACATTAGACTTATTAAGGCATTTTGGTGGCATAGATGAAACAAGGAGGTTGAGTCCTGTAATGGATACTGTCCGTGCCTCTGGGCCAGAAACTGTGTGCCAAGTCCCACACCAGTACTCGATAGCTGAGGAAAGTGCATGCATAATGCAGCCAAATTTCCACTTGTTTATCTCTTCACAAAGGCTGCCAGGCCTACTGAGTTTGTCCAACACATTCTAATCTTCAATTCTGATTTTTCATTTTTATGCAGGTGCTTCCTCTGTTACAAGAGAGGGGAAAGTAGAATCTGTTACTAGTAACATAGAAACGCATGCAGCTCGCAGTGTGACTGCCTAAAAGAGGACAAAAGAGTCATGAGAGACACCTTCTCTGTGTCAGATAAAGCAAACTCATCCAGCATTACTATCATTGTTTTGTCATTGCTCGAATACAATGAGGTTTTCTGAACAATGCATACAGGAGTCGTTTAATAATTTCAAATTGTATTGATCATGAAGTATGATCCGGTGCATCATGATGTAAAACAAATACTGCAACAATTTGGTAGAATCCATACTGTACCAATAAAGCTTAATGTGATAGCACAATTGTACAATGACAATTTCTTTATCAAATGCACTTTCAAGCACAAAACTTTTTATCAGCACAAAAATCAGGATGTGATAAGTAAAACTTATACTCAGCACAGTGGAAAAGCTTTTCACGGTATTTTACTGTTTACACACAACAATAAAATCAGTCATTTAGATTCACAAATGGAAAGCCATGGTTGACAAACTTGGTAGTTTTTTTGAAGCAATTACTAACAAAATTGATAAAAGACAGCTGATGGACATAGTATACTTAGATTTTCAGGAGGGTTTTGATAAAATCCTCCACAGGCTTGAAAAATTAAACTAGATGGGAAAGAAAGCAACGTAGTGGCATGAATTAGGATTAGCTAACAGACAGAAAACAGTAGGAATAAATGGACCATTCTCTGATTACAGGATTACGGGGATAGTGTGGGTAAAAGACATTATGTTTGATCAGCCATGATCATATTGAATGGTGGGGCAGGCTCAACAGGTTGAATGGCCTACTCAGATTCCTATGTCAACAATGTGCAGGGCTGGATGAACACAGCAGGCCAAGCAGCATCATAGGAGCAGAGAGGCTGACGTTTCGGGCCTAGACCCTTCATCAGAAAAGGGGGAGGGGAAAGGGGTTTTGAAATAAATAGGGAGAGAGTGGGAGGCGGATAGAAGAGGGATAGAGGAGAGGATAGGTGGAGAGGAAACAAACAGGTCGAAGAGGCGGGGATGGGGCCAGGAAAGGTGAGTGTAGGTAGGGAGTTAGGAAGGGGATAGGTCAGTCCAGGGAGGACGGACAGGTCAAGGGGGCGGGATGAGGTTGGTCGGTAGGAGATGGAGGTGCGGCTTGAGGTGGGAGGAG